GACAAAAACCACATGATTATCTCAATAGATGCAGAAAAGGCCTTCGACAGAATTCAACAGCCCTTCATGCTAAAAACTCTCAATAAACTAGGTATTGATGGAACGTATCTCAAAATAATAAGAGCTATTTATAACAAACCCACAGCCAATATCATACTGAATGAGCAAAAACTGAAAGCATTCCCTTTGAAAACTGACACAAGATGGGGATGCCCTCTCTCACCACTCCTATTCAACACAGTGTTGGAAGTTCTGGACAGGGCAATCAGGGAGGAGAACGAAATAAATGGTATTCAATTAGGAAAAGAGGAAGTCAAAGTGTCCCTGTTTGCAGATGACATTATTGTATATTTAGAAAACCCCACTGTCGCAGCCCAAAATCTCCTTAAGTTGATAAGCAACTTCAGCAAAGTCTCAGGATACAAAATCAATGTGCAAAAAATCACAAGCATTCCCAAACACCAATAACAGACAAACAGACAGCCAAATCATGAGTGAACTCCCATTCACAATTGCTACAAAGAGAATAAAATACCTAGGAATCCAACTTACAAGGGACGTGAAGAACCTCTTCAAGGAGAACGACCAACCACTGCTCAATGAAATAAAAGAGAATACAAACAAATGGAAGAACATTCCATGCTCATGGATAGGAAGAATCAATATCATGAAAATGGCCATACTGCCCAAGGTAATTTATAGATTCAATGCCATCCCCGTCAAGCTACCAATGACTTTCTTCACAGAATTGGAAAAAACTGCTTTAAAGTTCATATGGAACCAAAAAAGAGCCTGCATTGCCAAGACAATCCTAAGTAAAAAGAACAAAGCTTGAGGCATCATGCTACCTGACTTCAAAGTACACTACAAGGTTACAGTAACCAAAACAGCATGGTACTGGTACCAAAACAGAGATAGACCAACAGAACACAACACAGCCCTCAGAAATAACACCACACATCTACAACCATCTGATCTTTGACAAACCTGACAAAAACAAGAAATGGGGAAAGGATTCCCTATTTAATAAATGGTGCTGGGAAAACTGGCTAGCCATATGTAGAAAGCTGAAACTGGATCCCTTCCTTACACCTTATACAAAACTTAATTCAAGATGGATTAAAGATTTAAATGTTAAACCATGAAAACCCTGGAAAAAAAAACCTAGGCAATACCATTTAGGATATAGGCATGGGCAAGGACTTTATGACTAAAACGCCAAAAGCAATGGCAACAAAAGCCAAGATAGACAAACGGGATCTAATTAAACTGAAGAGCTTCTGCACAGCAAAAGAAACTACCATCAGAGTGGGCAACCTGGCAGGTAAGTGGCCCTTACCTGGCAAAGCCAAGTGGCTTAGTGTGGGACAGAATAGGCAATCTACAGAATGAGAGAAAATTTTTGCAATCTACCCATCTGACAAAGGGCTAATATCCAGAATCTACAAAGAACTTAAACAAATTTACAAGAAAAAAACAAACAACCCCATCAAAAAGTGGGCAAAGCATATGAACAGACACTTCTCAAAAGAAGACATTTATGCAGCCAACAGACACATGAAAAAATGCTTATCATCACTCACCATCAGAGAAATGCAAATCAAAACCACAATGAGATACCATCTGACACCAGTTAGAATGGCGATCATTAAAAAGTCAGGAAACAACAGATGCTGGAGAGGATGTGGAGAAATAGGAACGCTTTTACACTGTCGGTGGGACTGTAAACTAGTTCAACCATTGTGGAAGACAGTGTGGTGATTCCTCAAGGATCTAGAACTAGAAATACCATTTGACCCAGTAATCCCATTACTGGGTATATACCCAAAGGATTATAAATCATGCTGCTATAAAGACAGATGCATGCATATGTTTATTGCAGCGCTATTCACAATAGCAAAGACTTGGAACCAAACCAAATGTCCATCAATGATAGACTGAATTAAGAAAATGTGGCACACATGCACCATGGAATTCTAGGCAGCCATAAAAAAGGATGAGTTCATGTCCTTTGCAGGGACATGGATGAAGCTGGAAACTGTCATTCTGAGCAAACTATCACAAGGAGAGAAAACCAAACACTGCATGTTCTCACTCATAGGTGGGAATTGTACAATGAGAACACTTGGACACAGGGCGGGAAACATCACATATGGGGGCCTGTCTGGGGTAGGGGGGATGGAGAGGGATAGCATTAGAAGAAATACCTAATGTAAATGACGAGTTAATGGGTGCAGCAAACCAACATAGGACATGTATACCTATGTAACAAACCTGCACATTGTGCACATGTACCCTAGAAATTAAAGTATAATAATAATAATAGTAATAAATCTCACCTTTCTCCCAAATATGCAGAAGAAACAGTGTCTCTGAAACTTTGATTTGCATGGACATCAACAGAGGGTGTAGCTAGAGCCCAAGTGTGTGACAGTCAGATGAAAGTGGCCCTTACCTGGCAAAGCCAAGTGGCTTAGTGTGGGGCAGGTTCATTCAAGAACTTTCTCTACTTCTCTCCCCAGATCCTCCTCAGGATCAAGGTCAGTGCTGTCCCAGAACGTTTAAAGGCAGAGAGAAGAATTGCCTTATAGGGCTAACATGTTTTCCCAAAATCTCCAACTTTTTTTTTCTTGTTTAGCCATTGTACAAAATTGGGGAAATGTACAACTTCTGGGTAGACTCTCCATAGTGGAGAAAAGGCTTGAGAGGCACAAAGGCTGGGCTTTACAATCGCTACCCCTCACTCCATCATCCTTATCTATGCATTTCCCTGGTAACCCCATCCACAGCCTGATACCTTCCCCACTGTCATTTCTGCTGCATTACAGACACAGACTTGCAAATAGCTATGATTGTGACTGAGTTTCTTCGTGACACCTGACCCTTTCTCATGCTGCAAGGAAAGCTTGCTGGGAGGAGCCTGGAATCTGGAATGAAGCCAGAGGGCAAGGCTTACAGGGGTCATTTAAGTGCTGCAACTCAGAGATTCACTCAGAAGACTGGACACAATTCCGAAGGTCGCCCAGAGGGAGAGAACAATGTCATTTCTAACTGTGAGTTGAAAAGGCACAGCCTTCAATAATCTCACGTCACACAAACCAAGAAAGAAATGGGGTATTTTATGAGATGAAAATATGAGCATTCCTACTGTGAATGCTTTACTGAAAGTTCTGGGTGTGTGGAAGAGAAACACTGAGGCTAGGTATCTGAGATGCTTGTACCATGTGGGGTGTGGATCCTGGACCAATGTAATCCTGTGTGAGCATGAGGTGGTGTCTGATGAGAGTGAACTCTGCTGAGATGATATGACTTTAGGTGGGAGGTGGATGGCCCACCAGGTCAAGCAGGTGTGTGTATCAGTGTAAGGGGTGATTGTGCTTTGTCTTCCCCTTTGTGATATGAGTGTGTGTTTGTGCACAGCCAGACCAGTGCATGACCATCTTCATGCATACAGTGAACAGGTGTGTGTGACTCAGTGAGTGGCATGGCTCTGTGTGACTGTGGATGTGTGTGCTGGGATGTGACTGGGTATTGAAGGGAAAACATACGTGTGGCCTTCTGTGCATGTGAAGGTTCCTCCCCACACAGCAGCATCTCTGATGAAGGAACTGTGTGTCTTTTCATGTGTGGCAATGTGAATCCCAGATGGCTTAACTGGTGGGGATCTTGGAGATTGTGAGTTACCAAGGACTTGTTTCAGATCACTTGTGAGAGTGGAATGTATGGTCAGTAGATGTCTCTTCCCAGTAAGAGTGGGGAAGAGGAATGGAGACTATGGGGGTGATGGTTCCTCAGGTGGGGTCTGCACAGAGTGACCACTGGCTCTTGCCTCCCAGGCTCAGCTTCCCTGTCTCCAGCCTATCCTGTACTTTTCATTGTGAGACAGGAGGTTTGCTAGAGAAGGACATTAGAGGCCATGGTTTCAGAGACTGAATCATGTAAAATACCCACTGTAAGCTCTGTCTCAACTGAGTCTAAACTTGTTCCTCCACCCATGAAGGAACAGTTTAGTCTCAGTTCAGACAGAGCTTACAGTGGATATTAATCAACAAAGCAGCTGGGTTCACTGGCTCATGGCCATCATCCCACCAATTTGAGAGACAAACATGAGAGGAGAACTTGAGGCCAGAAGTTTGAGACTGGTCTGGGTATCATAGTGAGACCCTTTCTTTAAAAAACTTTAAATATCAGACTGTCAGAGGGGCAGGCACCTTTCGCCCCAGCTACACAAGAGGGGGCAGATGTGTGAGGATCACTGCAGCCCAGTAGTTCGACGTTTCATTGAGCTATTATCGCACCACTGCATGTCAGCCTGGGCAACAGAGCAAGACCCTATCTCAAAAAAACAGAAAAATCATCCACCACTTGTAGTCGTGGTAGAAATCAATCATTCCCTCCAGTTATGTCTCTGACCCACAGGCTTCTTTTGTGCAAGTACTGGGGCTGTGCTCTCAGTAATGTGTGCCCCTTCTTGGAAGGACGTCCATTGCCCTTGATGATCGTGATGCATGTGCCTCCCACACACAGGGGTTTCCTGTTCTTTCATCATTTCTCTCTCTTTCAACAAGTGTTGTTTCTCACTGGAGTGAATTTCTAAATTCTTACATCCTCAAGTCTTGTTTTCATTTTCAGAGTTGAAAATGAAGGCAGGTCAGTGTCTCAGGAGGACTCCCTGGTTCTGTTAGGTCACCACTAACAGGCCCTACCCATGCCAGGGATTAGGGGAAAAGGTTTACATATATTAACTGCTCTATTATAAAGAATTTCTTACAAAGTAGGAATTCGTGATAATCCTCTTTGTTTTAGGGAAACTGAGGAAGTCAAGTAACCGATCTAAGATTGCACGGCTAGTAAAAGGCAGAATGAGGACCGGAATCCAGGCATCTTGGCTCCTGAACCCTTGCTCTTACCTATGGGTCCACCATATCTTCAGGAACACGGGGTCCTGATGTGGTAGGGTGAAAGGGGAGAGTCCACAGAGTCTTCCCTGTGATCTCTAACCTCCTGCACTATGGGAATATGTTACAGGAGGGGAGACTGCGCCTGACCCCTGCACCTCTCACTTACTCTCAATACTCTGGCAGGTGCCATACAAACTGCCTGTGTCTTTGTCTGTTGGTTCCTGCGTGATAATCAAAGGGACACCGATCGACTCTTCTGTGTGAGTACTCCATGGACCAATGGAGAGGGTGGAGGAGAAAGGAGTATATTTGCTAACAGTTCGACCTTATGTGTGGGTGATGTGGAAATGTTCAGTTGGCAGGATGGAGGCCCCATGCAGGTGCAGGTCCTGGAGACCCTCCAGCATCAGGCATGAAATCTGCAGCAACTACCTGTGGGCCAGTCACGGGGTCTAGCGGAGGAGGACACTCAGTGGGTTGGGGCTGTGGCTCTTCATCAAGGGGCATAGAATTTTCAGGGAATGAACAAGTCATAGGCCCAGGTCAGTGGCTGTGACTCAGTTTTCATCTGGGGATGAGGAGCACAGCATCTCCCTGCTGGGGGCACGAGGAGCTTAAGCATCCCCACAGGGATCAGGCCTGCAGTATCATCAGGGAGACTTTTTCGTTGGGTAAAGGGGGGAAGGGATTTGTGTGTGTGTCAAGTGTGTGTCTGCACAATGAAGGAACCTGTCCAACATGCTGTGTGCTTTGCCCTCAGCAATGAACCACAGCTGCAGGTGGATTTCTACACTGAGATGAATGAGGAGTCAGAAATTGCCTTCCATTTGCGAGTGCACTTAGGCCGTCGTGTGGTCATGAACAGTCGTGAGTTTGGGATATGGATGTTGGAGGAGAATTTACACTATGTGCCCTTTGAGGATGGCAAACCATTTGACCTGCGCATCTATGTGTGTCGCAATGAGTATGAGGTGAGCACCCCTGGAGCTCCTAGCACCCAGGCTCTTTGGGATCCCAGAGCAAGAGGCAGCTCTCATTGACCTGGCCTCACCAGTCCCTCAGGGCCCATCTCCCATAACTACCCCTGCCCCAGGTTTTCATCACAGAGCACCCTCTGCTTGCACTGCCGTCCTCAGCTCTTTCCCAAATCTGACCAAGGTCAAGGTCGGCTCACCTTCCATTTCCCCAATAGTGGAGAATCTCCTCTGTCTTTTCACATAGTGCTCATTTCTACGTATGCCAGTATTTAAATTTTCATGTAGCTGAATGAATACAATATACTTAAGAAAAAAGTTTTTTCTATCAATCACACTTAAGAAAAAAGTTTTTTCTATCAATCATACTTAAGAAAAAAATTTTTTCTATCAATCAAAACTTACGTCTTCGTCTCACTTTTGGGTCCCAATTCTACTCATACAAATAACATTACCAGTGCTCTGCTCTCCTTCAGAGAGAATAATCTTTTTTTTTTTTTTTTTTTTTTGAGACAGAGACTCACTTTGTCATCCAGGTTGGAGGGCAGTGACATGATCTCAGCTCACTGCAACTTCCACCTCCCGGATTCAAGTGAGTCTCTTGCCTTAGCCTCCCAAGTACCTGGGATTACAGGTGCATGCCACCATATCTGGCTAATTTTTTTTATTTTTGGCAGAGACAGGGTTTCACCATGTTGGCTAGGCTGGTTTTGAACTCCCAGTCTCAAGTTATCAGCCCAACTCAGCCTCCCAATATAGTGGGATTACAGGCATATGCCACCGAGCCAACCCCTTCAGAGGAAATCTTTGCCTATGGAAGCATATAGATATGTCTATGATTTCATTTGTGTTTAAGCAAATCCTGGTATAAGTTGCTCTACACATTACACTTTAGGAACTAAGTTGGTTTTTTACCAAAGAATATATCTTGAAGACATTCTCAATCCATGGTGCTGCTTCAATTGTTCAGTTGGGCATTGAAGTTGTTCCCAGTATTTTGCTCTCACAAATGATGCTGTATCAGGCTTTCAAATAAATCCTTTCGTCATTACCAACCTCCCAATACTTATATTGGGACATAATTACAAAAAAATGAAAAAATTGGTTGAAAAATATGTGCATGTTAAATTTGAAAAACTAATACTAATAAGGTGACTTTCTCTATAGTCTCAATATAAGGAATATATCCATACTCTCTTGCTTTCTCTAAGGAGTAGGCCAAAAGATTCCCATCTCATTCAGATTCATGTGAGGGATCTTTTCCTATGCTTAGAAGTTGTTGAAGATAATATCTTATGTTATACGAGACCTGTCTTCCTTTAACTCTCTAAGAACACTGGGCTTCGTTCTTTGCCACTAACACCTCAGATGTAGGCTACTCCAAAGAGGAACTGTGCCATCAATAATGAAAGGCAGTCACAGTTCGTGGAACTGAAAAGTATGCATTTCAATGAACATGGTCTAGCACTAACCCTGTGGCAGGTCCTGTGTGAGATGCAGGGTCTCAGGTTCCTGAAACACAGTCCCTGGTAATGGGGTCATCCAGTTTAAAAGGGAGGCTGAGTAACAGGGACTGTGTGACACAGAGTGTAGAACGTCACAAGAGGAATAAGAGGAAACTAGAAATAAAGTCAGCAACTGTCTCAAATAGGTACAAAACATCATCTGTAAACAGAAGTGTATCTACAACATTCACTTGTATAACTAGGAGTTTTCTTGGAGAATGTTATTGGTACTAGGGCAGAGTAGAGAGGAAGCTGAAAACTTGTCTTTCTGATGCATTTTTCCTCTTAAAGGTAAAGGTAAATGGTGAATACATTTACGCCTTTGTCCATCGAATCCCACCATCATATGTGAAGATGATTCAAGTATGCAGAGATGTCTCCCTGGACTCAGTGCTTGTCAGCAATGGATGGAGATGATTACACTCCTCATTGTTGAGGAAACCCTCTTTCTACCTGACCATGGGATTCCTGGAGCCTGCTAACAGAATTATCCCTCCTCAACCCTTTCCCCTACACTTGGTCATTAAAACAGCACGAAACCACACATGATTTGGTTCTTGCTTTAAGAGGGGGAAAAAGGATGTGATCATCCCCAAAAGGGGCCAGGGCATTCTATGGGAGGCATCAGGAAATCAAAGGGGATAAACCTTCCTGTGACAAAGGGAGTGAGTGACAAGGTCCCTGGAATGTCTGATAAGACATTAGAAACAGCATCCTTCTATAGTACGTAGTTGACGTCAGACAGTCTGAACCAAAATACTTACCCAATCTCAGATGACTCACGGCACTTAAATGTTAGACAGCTGTTTACAGCCATGCAGGTGTACCTAGTAGCTTTGGGGAAAACCTATAACTTGAGGAAAATGATGTGGAATTTCTTAATTTTTCCATTGTTCTCAGGATGCTTATTGTGTATGAACACTATGCCTGGCTTTGTGCGGGCTGCTGTGAAAGAAGTGAAGAAAAAGATGACAAGTTTTGCATGTAAAGTTTTCAATCCAAGTAATAGAGAATCACGGGAGCCCAGTGATTCCCCTTAAATAATCCCAATTATTCTTATTTGCAAATATTTGAAAAGTTTTTCATTTTATGTGGGGAGAATCCAGGGGTTTCTCTTTGGAAATAAATGGTCATGGTTTTAGATCAGAGAACATGAAGATTATTATTGGAATAGACACAATTCATGTACATGGACACAGTGAGCAGACTCTGCTTTGCTGCTATTCCTGTGATAAACTGCAGCATAGAAAACCGCCCAACACATATTGGTTAAAAGTAATCATTTATTTTGATCTCTCCCAGCTTTACAGGTTTACTGAACTCATGTGAGTGGTAGATCATGTGATGGGAGTCACATTTTCTGAGGGATCTTTTAGGCTGGGATTTCAAGGGACGCTTTACTCATGCCCAATTCAACACTAGGGCTGAGTGAACACCTGGAAACTGGCTGATTATTTCCTTCACTACCTCACCTTCCCACTCATGCCTTTAATTTCCTCAAACAGACTCTCACAGTTCTTAGACTTAATGAATGGTGATTGGCTTTCACCAAAGAAAGTCTTCCAAAAGGCTCATGGAGAAGATGCACAGCATCACAGACCTACCTTTGAATGGCAGATAGTGTCACTTCTATGACTTTACACTGATCAAGGTGAGTCACACAGACAGCCCTAATCAAAAGGAGAGGACTCCACAAGCTGTAGTTATTGTGACTGTAGTCATGAGGGGCCATCCTTGGCAACTAGTTCCCCTCAGAACTACTTCCCATATACCAAAAACACACCCTGTAAGGAATCTCTGAAGGCATACAATTATAGGAACAGGCTCAGAGTAAAGTGCAGTGTCTTATCTAATCAGAATATAGTGTCTGTGATGTGACTACAACTTATCACATGCAATCTCTCTCAACCTGTGCATCAAAGGAACACATTATCTGCTTTATACAAATCAAGCAAAGAAGACTGAAAGAGACAAGAAAAAGGCAATGAATACACCTATTTTAGAGGGGCAAAATAAAATAGACAGCAGTCCCTAATCCATATCATTGGTGAAACCAATCAGACACCTATTTTCATTTTCTCTGGGAATGTTTCTCTGTAGCACTTACCCTCAGCCTCCATTCTCAGCTTCTTGGCGTTCCTACCAAGATGGCAGAATGACAGCCCTTTTGCTATGCCTGGCTAATTTTGTGTTTTTAGTAGAGATGGGGTTTCACCATGTTGGTCAGGCTGGTCTTGAACTCCTGACCTCAAGTGATCTGCCTGCCTCGGCCTCCTGCAGTGCTGGGATTACTGGCGTCAGTCACCGTGCCTGTCCTCTAAACTTGTGTTATGGAGACTCATTTCCGTGGTTAAAATGTCTTGAATTGACTGTGCCTGTTGGGAGGTGGGATGGAGGAAGCTACTTATGGAAAATGAATAAGAAAGGGAAGCACACCAGAAGCAAGAAAGTGTTACCAATTTTTACATCAAAGACTCCACGAAAAAGAGAAAGTACAAGTAGCCTGTTTTCGTAGCTGACCATTGGACTGCAGACTGCACCTGCAGCTACCAGGTTCTTCTGGATAGTCCCAGTTTTAAATTTTGACCTGATATTCAAGAACACAGTGCTACCGGTCAGACCTTTGTCCAGGTTTAAGCTTCAGAAAATAAGGTCCTCGTGCAGCGGGAGGCCTGGTTAGGTTTATGATTCTGCCCTGGGGCATCTGCCACTTCTGACCTGGAGGTAACCTTGGCATCTATTTACCTCCACACTTGAACAGCCAAGGATGAGCTGAGCACAATGGCTCACATCTGTAACTCCAGCACTTTGGGAGGCCAAGGCAGGAGGATCACTTGAGGCCAGGAGTTCAAGACCAGCCTGGGCAATATAGTGAGACCTTCCTTGTCTCTGTAAAAACAAACAAACAAACAAACAAAACCAAGGATGGGTGGGTGGCAGGGAGCAGATCAACCTGGGAAACCATTAATCTGAGAGCTGGAAGGAACCTTAGACCAGTTCCCCATTAACAGATGAGACTCTGCCCTGGAATTACAGCTTTTCTAGAGATTTGAAAATAATCAATCCTAAAACCCCCAAGCATACTGCTACTGTTTGCTACTTAATAATATTTTCTATTCCGGGTGCGGTGGCTCACGCCTGTAATCCCAGCAGTTTGGGAGCTTGAGGCGAGTGGACCACCTGAGGTCAGGAGTTCAAGACCAGCCTAGCCAACATGGTGAAACCCCATCTCTACTAAAAATACAAAAAATTAGCCGGCCATGGTGGTGCGTGCCTGTAATATCAGCTGCTTGGGAGGCTGAGGTAGGAGAATCCTTTGAACCTGGGAGGCAGAGGTTGCAGTGAGCCAAGATTGCACCATTGCACTCCAGCCTGAGCTACAAGAGTCAAATTCTGTCTCCAAAATAATAATGATAATAATGTTTTCTATAAGCAAGGGGTTACTTTGTACTGTGAACTGGTGTGAAGGGATCCACCATGCATCAGCTTTTGGATTGATGACAGTTATTTCCAGATCGTGGAGGTGGGAATGCTTGTTGATCATCTTCTTTGTTCTTTGTTATATTGATTGATTTTTTTAAAAAACTAGCATTTTTATAACAATAAATTCATAAAAATAAGTAATTAAAATAAAGTAAAATAATCTAAAAAGGCCAGGCGTGGTGGCTCACGCCTGTAATCCCAGCACTGTGGGAGGCTGAGGTGGGTGGATCACCTGAGGTCAGGAGTTCGAGACCAGCCTGGCCAACATGGTGAAACTCCATCTCTACTAAAAATACAAAAATTAGCTGGGCGTGGTGGCATGTGTCTGTAATCCCAGCTACTCGGGAGGCTGAAGCAGGAGAATCGCTTGAACCCAAAAGAAGGTGCTTGCAGTGAGCTGAGATCATGCCATTGCACTCCAGCCTGGGTGACAAGAGCTAAACTCCATCTCAAAATAAAACAAAAAGAAATCTAAATATAATTGAGTTGAATATTTGAACTTTTTATTGACATTTCAAATTAGATTCTAATTCAATTTAAAAGAGCAGCATCTCACAGAAGCAGATGTACTTAATTATGTTAACTCTGTGGTTTCATTTAAGCGATTTGTTTTGTGAAGGGACACAAATCCAATCAGATTTTAACAGTGTATAAATATGTATGTATTAATTTAATTACAATGGCAATACTCTCAACTTCCCATTTGAATAAAGGAGAGCATCCAATCTCTATTCTGGGGCACCATGCACTATAGGTGTGTGGAAATACCGATGCCCTCAGCTGTGGGGCAGGCTCAGTGGGACCTGGAGTGCTGGCGACCCTGGGCCATTCACCTCTGGCCACAAAAGCCACTGTCTATTTACCCCCAACTGCTATAGAAATATTATTTTCAGTGGTTGTCATGATGCAAAAGAAAAGAAGCAGGGAGATGTATTAAACCTTTATGTATAAGTTATGTTAGTAAATAAAGTCAACTTTCTTCTGGCTTAACTAAAAAATCCATACTAGTATTTATGCCTTTTGGAAAATAGAGATGCCAATTTAAATATTATGAAGCAAAGCAACAGATTATTAGGTAAGACAACCAATTATAGGCCGGGCGCGGTGGCTCAAGCCTGTAATCCCAGCACTTTGGGAGGCCGAGACGGGCGGATCACGAGGTCAGGAGATCGAGACCATCCTGGCTGACACGGTGAAACCCCGTCTCTACTAAAAAATACAAAAAACTAGCCGGGCGAGGTGGCGGGCGCCTGTAGTCCCAGCTACTCCGGAGGCTGAGGCAGGAGAATGGCGTGAACCCGGGAGGCGGAGCTTGCAGTGAGCTGAGATCCAGCCACTGCACTCCAGCCTGGGCAGCAGAGTCTCGAAAAAAAAAAAAAAAAAAAGACAACCAATTACAACCGCAGAATTACAGAGGTTATGGGTTAAATGTAAAAGAATATTTCATAGCAATAATCTTTTAAGACTATGCAAAGAGACTCCACAGTGAAGCAGAAATTAGAACAGAATTAATAATACTGTGTATGCTCTCAGTTCACCAATTTATCAAAACTAGTTTTATGATTCAGGAGGGTGTCTGCTCTTTTGCAATTGGAAGAAAAGAAAGAAGATTTTATTTTTCGACTCTTCAAATTTTCTTCACTAATAGTACTTCCAAGGCTAAGTAAGGGAGTTGCAAGTAGCACCAAGAGAAAAAAGTAGACTTGAGCAGCTTTTAAAATACGGTCTTAAAATATGGAAAATGGAGCCATATGTGGTAGCTCACGCTTGTAATTCCAGCACTTTGGGAGCCTGAGGTGGGAGGATTGCTCGAGGCCAAAAGTTTGAGACCAGCCTGGGCAGCATAGCAAGATCCCCATCGTTACAAAAAAATAATAACTTTTTAAAAAATTAGCTGGATGTGGTGGTGCATGCCTTAGAGTCCTAGTTTCTTGGGAGACTGAGGTAGGAGGAGCTCTTGAGCCCAGGAGTTCAAGTTTGCAGTGAGCTACAATTGTACCACTGTGCTCCAGTCTGGGAAACAAAGTGAGACCCTGTCACACACACACACACACTCTCTCTTTCTCTCTCTCTCTCTCTCTCTCTCTCTCTATATATATATATATATATATCTGGAAAAGGGAAGGGGCCAAGAATATCAAAGACATTATTGAAGAAGAGGAAAGATGTCCTGTCAAATATCAGAAGTTTTATAAAGCTACAGCAATTAAGACAGTGTGGTCTTCACTGATAAACTAACCAATGAAACACAATAGAGAGCTCCTAAACAAATCTCCACAAATTTAAGCTTTGATATGTGATGCAGGTGACATGGCAGATCAGCAAGGGAAGAAAGGACTTTTCAATAAATAGAAAAGAAAAATAATGGTTATTGATATAGGAAACAAAATGAAATTATATTCCTTCTTTGCTCTATATACAAACATTAAATTCCAGATGTACCAAAGACTTACCCGTCAGAAACAAAATTTTAAAACTTTTAGTAGAAAATGTAAGTGAATGAGATACAAAAAGCCACTTAACCATTTAAAAAGATTAGACGTTTTGACTATCACAAAATTAAGAACTTTTTACATCAAAAAGTGAAAAGATAGGCTGGGCATGGTGTCTCAAGCCTGTAATCCCAACAGTAGATCACCTGAGGTCAGGAGTTTGACACTAGGCTAGCCAACATGGTGAAACCCCATCTCCACTAAAAATATAAGAAATTAGCTAGGCATTGGTGGCAGACACCAGTAATCCCAGTTACTTGGGAAGTTAATGCACAAGAATCGTCTGAACCTGGGAGGTGGACGTTGCAGTGAACCACTGCACTCCAGCCTGAATGAGAGAGCAACACTCTGTCTCAAAAAAAATTTTTTTAATAAAAAATAAAAATACAAAAGTAAAAAGATAAACTATAAACTAGAAGAAGACATTTGCAATACCTAAAACCTATGAAAGATTAATATCATATCAACAAAGTATAAGAAGCTCCTATGAATTAATTTTAAAAATAGCAACCCAACAGTAAATTGGGAAAAGACATTAATAGGGATTTCACAAAAGAGAATGCCCCTAAAACATAAAAATTTTCTCACCCTCATTAGTAATTAGGAAAATGCCCAAGATACTACATATCTATTCTCTCCACAAATATTAAGAAGTTTGACAATACCAAATGTATTAGTTCACATTCACACTGCTGATAAACACATAACTGAGACTGTGAAGAAAACGAGGCTTAACGGATTTATGGTTCCACATGGCTGAGGAGGCCTCAGAGTCATGGCCATGGATGAAAGGCACTTCTTACACACCAATGGCAAGAGAATATGAGAAGGAAGCAAAAGAAGCAGAAGACGAAACCCCTGATAAACTCATCAGATCTTGTGAGACTTATTCACTATAACAAGAATAACATGGGAAAGCTCAGCCCAAGGGATTCAATGACCTCGCCCTGGGTTCCTCCCTCAACACATGGGAATTCTGAGAGATACAACTCAAATTGAGATGTGGGTAGGGACATAGCCAAACCATATTAATCTGCTCCTGGCCCCTCCAAATCTCATGTCCTCACATTTCAAAACCTATCATGCCTTCCCAGCAGTCCCCCAAAGTCTTAACTCATTTCAGCATTAACCCAAATATCTGCTGTCCAAAGTCTCATCTGAGACAAGGCAAGTCTCTTCTGCCTATGAGCCTGTAAAATCCAAAGCAAGCTAGTTACTTCCTAGATACAAAGGGGTACAGATAATTGAGTAAATACAGCTATTCCAAATGGGAGAAATTGGCTAAAACAAAGGGGTTACAGGCCCCATGCAAGTCCAAAATCCAGCCAGGTAGTCAAATTTTAAAGCTCCAAAATGATCTCCCTTGACTTCATGTTTCACATCCAGGTCATGCTGATGCAAGAGGTGGGCTCCCATGGCCTTGTGTAGTTCTGCCCCTGCGGCTTTGCAGGGTATAGCCCACATCCTGGCTGTTTTCATGGGCTGATGTTGAGTGTCTGAAGCTTTTCCAGGCTCACGGTGCAAGCTATCAGTGAATCTACCATTCTGGGGTCTGGAGGACAGTGGCCATCTTCTCACAGCTCCACTAGGAAGTGCTCCAGTAGGGATTCTGTGTAGGGGCTCCAACTCCACATTTCCCTTCCACACAACCCTAGCAGAGCTTCTCCATATGAGCCCCACCCCTGCAGCAAACTTCTGCTTGGACATCCAGGCATTTTCATACATCCTCTGAAATCTAGGTGGAGGTTTCCAAACCTCAACTCTTGACTTCTGTGCACGTGCAGGCTCAGCACCAGGTGGAAGCTGCCAAGGCTTGGTGCTTGCACTCTTAAAGCCATGGCCTGAGATCTGTCTTGTACCCTTTCAGCCATGGC